GCTTTCTTATGTTGAGCACAAAAGAAGATATTTTGAAGATTGCTGGTAATCAAACAGTTGGTGGTTGCCATTGACTTCCCCACCAACTGTTTGATTACCAGCAATCTTCAAAATATCTTATTTTGTGCTCAACATAAGAAAGCAACTCATACAGGTTTGGAACGACATGAGGGTGAGTAAATGGTGACAGAATTTTCATTTTTGGGTGAACTATCCCTTTAAGTTGAGATTTCTGAGTAAGTGCATGAGAAAAAACTCATTTAGAGAAAACATCTATTAAAGATAGGCTATGTAGGATGTTTTCTTTCCACAAGTCTGAAAATAGACAAGTTAAAGAAGCAAAATCTTAAAATCGACCAGTGTCTTAATAAACAATGGTTAGTCTTGCATAACAGACTTGCATAAAATGCTTATTTTGACTGGAAGGTGCAGAAATATATAGTAGTTTCTGGTATTATACTACCAATATCTTAATATTGTGACACTGGTGCTGTTTTCAGTTGTGAAATACTGTCTGATGTCAGTAATGATGAAGGATCTATTCTACATGGCGTCTCAGTGGAGTGTTGCGTGTAAGAACTTTATCCGCTGTAATCTTCTTTAGCTTCTGTTGCATGCAGGTGGGGATGTCATATGGAGCTGTGCAGAGACAGACAGGGACAATGAGACATCGGGTTGATAGCTGATTTGAGCGTGCATTCTGGCTGGTGAGTTTATGACAATAAAAACATAGTGGATTATTTGTATACTGCCAAAATGTTGATATTTGTTCTTTCAAACACAAGAAATGGAGGACACAGAGGTCCGACAACAGAAGCTGGACAATCAGGTAAGTGAATGTCTTTTGATTAGACATTTACTTATACTTTTGTGTTGCATATTTTATCAGTAGGGTTTTCTTTCAATATTATTTTACATTGACATTATAGTCATGCTTAACATCATGCTTAAAAGCAGATCCCTAGATAGGTTTTGAGGATCTGTATCTATACTAATGGCATTACTGGGTAGTTATATATCTGATGTTTAACAGCAGTTCATATCATGTTAATTCTCATAGCGTTCGCTTTTAATCAAGAAACAACAAAGAAGAAGGGCAGATGCCCGGATGATCACAACGAATCATGACATCCGTCCCAAGACACGCAAACAGAAAGCTGAGTCTGACGATACAGCTTTATTGATAAGCCAATCTCAGAGCAACATTTCCCTCAGTGGTTTGTAATCACTTACTTTGTTTTATTGTTAACACATAATGTTATATATTAGTCATTATTTTTACAGAAAATAACACCCTGCCTATTTATTGTCAGACACACAGCCTGAGCAGATTTACGAAAACACGGTGGAAGAGATTTGTTTAGGAGAGCTGACCATTTCATCCAGGACAGAAGAGGCAATCTGTTCCAGTCATCACTAAGAAAATCGATCTAGAGATCAGCCCACAGCACAGCTCTAAATGCACTTTAGACACAGAAGGCCAGGCAGATGGAAAGAAAACTAAGAAGAAGGGTGTTAAAAAAGGGCAAACAAAATGTAAGTGTTTTTTCTATTTTCAATGATAACTTTTGCATCTGCCTTCGCGTGATATGCCTTTACGTTTTGTTGAATTGCACATTCTAGTACTTGAGGCCAAACCTGCATTAGACGTGGAGGAAAATGAGGGGAAAGAGAAAAAAACAGTGAAGAAGAAGGCTAAGACAAACGAATCTAAGGAGAAAGTGAAGACAGAGGAACAGTCTTGTAAGTGTACCGGAGATGTGTCTCCATTGTTAGGCATGATACAAGTTAAAGGCCATTTCCTGTCACACAGCCCAGTGCCTCATCCATAAATAGGAAACATTGGCATTGTTAACATTCCAACTCGGGGTATTTTCCAGCAATTCAGACCGATTCAGTTGTGGAAATCAACATTAATGAAGAGAAAAAACCTGAATCAGAGAGCGAGGATGAAAGAAAAGACTGGACAAAGACCCCCGTCCCTCCAACACCAAAGAAAAAACAACATCCCAAACCAAGTATAAAATCTCGTGATAAAAAAATGACTTCATATGAACCTTTTTGTTTCATGATGGTTTCTTTTGATCTGGCCTGATTGGTAATATTAGTTTTCTGTCGTTGTAGTGAGATGTCATCTCAGTGACAGTGAGGAAGAAAAAGAGGACGAAGAGGAGGAGGACAAAAAGAGGGAAGCTAAAAAAACATCAAAGAAGTCTAAAAAAGGAGCAAAAAATTATGACAGTATTGCTTCTTTAAACTCCAACTATAAGGAGCCTTCCTCTGATAGTGATTCTTTGGACATGGGAAAAGTAAGATGTAGTCTAAATTCATTTGTTTAGTGTTATATACACTGTGTGTGTGTGTGTGTGTGCATATATTATGTATACAGTTTAATTTTCCATTTGAATTTGAAAGCTAATAAGTAATTTTGTTTTGCCCTTTTTATGAGTTAAACATGTCTCTATAGGTTTAGTTCTTAGTTTATTTAGATTTAGTTATTTAGTACTTGAACTTAAACTAAAAGTTTATTTTTTTTGTATTTGATTTTATTTCATTTGATTATTTCAAGCAAAGAAAATGACAATTTTTTATGGTTTTAGGTTTAGTTGAAGTTAATACAATAACCCTGATCTTTTTTCTTTTTTTGTCCAGTCCTCTCCGATGTCTTTGGAGGATCTGGAACAGTTTGCCATGCGTCCTGCTCCAAGAGATGTGACTATTCAGTGCAGGATCACCAGAGACAGGAGGGGAGTGGAGAAAGGCATCTTTCCCACATATTACCTCCATATGGAAAAGGAGGATGGGAAAAAGGTTAGCAGAAGTGTGAATAATAATGAGAAAAATATGAGAAATAATGTCTTTTTCATTGCTTAACATATCATTGTTCTCTTGTCCAATGTTTCGAATGGGCAGGGCTTTCTGATGGCTGGTAGGAAAAGAAAGAAGTGCAAAACCTCGAATTATTTGATATCAATCGATCCTACCGATTTATCCAGAGATACTGAGAGCTACATAGGCAAACTAAGGTCAGTACCATTACAGTGCCTTATCACAAATATTGCTTGCAATTCTGCCCATGCTAAAATGTGTAATTTGTCTCCTCAGATCAAATGTCTTGGGGACTAAATTCACCGTGTATGATAATGGCGAGAATCCAGAAAGGAAACCATTTATTAAAGAAACGGATACGCTGCGACAAGAGCTAGCAGCAATATTTTATGTAAGATGCTAACTTTGTGCTGTTTTTTCTTTAGATGTCTTTAGTATATATATATATATATATATATATACATTTATTATGTTTTAATTGCAAAAAAATCTTACTTTGTTCTTTACTGTCACACAGGAGAAAAATGTTTTGGGTTTCAAAGGACCTAGAAAAATGACAGTAATTATTCCTGGTATGCATGAGAATGATGAGAGAGTTGTTATTCGACCAAAAAGTGTGAGTATTATGTTGTTGATCACTTTTTTTTTTTTGATAATCAGTCGCAATATTACGTTTCTTCTTTTTGATATGTATTACCATTCAAAAGTTTGGGGTCCAAAACATTTTTTTATGTTTTTGAAAGAAGTCTCTTATGCTCACCAAGGCTGCATTTATTTGATCAGAAATAGAGCGAAAATTGTAATATTGTGAAATTTTATTACAATTAATAAATGTATTGTAATTGTATTGTAAATATTGTAATTAGTAAATAACTTTTGTTGTAATATGTTTTAAAATGTAATTCATTAATGTGATGTCAAAGCTAAATTCTCAGCGGCCAAATTCTCCAGTCTTCAATGTTACATGATCCTTCAAAAAAATTATTTTGATATGCTGATTTGGTGCTCAAGAAACGTGTTTTTTTATTATTATCAGTGTTGTGCTGCTTAATATTTTTTGGGAAACTGAAATTTCATTTCTTTTAAAGATTTTTTTGATGAATATAATGATCAAAAGAACAGCATTTATTTGAAATAGAATTCTTTTGTATTCTTTTAATGTAACATTTGACCAATTTAATGCGCACTTTCTGTATAAATGTAGGAAAAAAACTGACTCCAAACCTTTGAATGGTAGTGTTTTTTATGTCTTGGAAATTTTTGTCACACTTCACTCAGATAAAATCGAATTATGTGTTTGGTTCACTGATTAAATCAGCTGCTTTATATATATTTATATATAATGAAAATAAAATCTCTTTTGCATGTCCCAGGAGCTGGAGTCTCTGCTCACCCGATATGAGAATGGAAACAAAGAGAATCTTGTCACCCTTGTAAATAAATCACCCAGCTGGAATGAGCAAACTCAGTCATATGTGCTGAATTTTCATGGCCGAGTTACTCAGGCATCTGTGAAAAACTTTCAAATTGTCCATCCAGATAATGGTGAGCTATTCTTTTTACTCATTTTGTATTTGTAGTTGCTATATTATATAATATACAAAAATATTACAATTCCTAATTCTAATATCAATGAATATCTCTCTCCAGTGGACTACATTGTGATGCAGTTTGGGCGGGTAGCTGAAGATGTGTTTTCCATGGACTACAGCTTTCCCATGTGTGCTCTCCAGGCATTTGCCATCACTCTGTCTTCCTTTGATGGCAAACTGGCTTGTGAATGAGCGTCATTCATCTGTATTTTCTGTTCTTTCAAAAAGGGAAACTTAGCGTTAATTTGAGATTTGAATGTTCTTGCAGTCATTTTAATGAACTTTAGATTTTTGCTATTATCCACAATATTATCCACAAATTACAATGTACAGTAGATCATTTATCTGTTTTACTAATTATGAATCTACAATTAGACATTTATTTTGTATTTATTCTCTCTTTAATTGTTAATTTCAATAGCCTGTTCTCCAAGACTGTTTAAGCAAATAATTTTGATATTTTCATTTCCTTTGTTTACATGAAAAAAAAAAGATTGACATTCCTTGTTAAATAAAAACCGATTGAATTTATATAAGGCTATATTATACAGTTACTCTTCATAAAGTTACATTCACCATCTTACAGACCTTCATTACGCTTTTGCTTTCTTATTGAGATATTTGAGATCCGAGTGGAATATTATATTTCGCCATAGTGAAATAATAAACATAGTAGGCCTATATATCTTTCCAGCGGGGGGCAGTAAAAGCCTTGATCGTTTTTCATACCTCTGCAAACTAAAACAGAAGAAAAAAGCGACAAATTCGCATACATCTACATCGCCCCATTTTGAACTCTGCATAACTGAAGTTCATCCGTATTATTTTTTTATCGTCATTTAGGCACCTCAGCGCCCATCAACAATCTGCTCTGAACGTTATTTGTGGAAGTTGGGTGTCGTGAAATGTGACTTTGAATGGAAACTCCCTCTTTTCGGTTTTGAGTTTTGCAAATTTGAGTTTGCAGACAGATGAGCTACGCCTCTTAATACAGGAACTTTTCATCGGAGTTGGATATAAGATACAACGAGAATGCGGGACCGGACCAAAGAATTGGGCAATGTGAGTACAAAGGAGGGCAGTGCACTCAGGAAACCGGCTAGCGTGCTAACGGGCTAAACCGCGGATACTGTACCCACAGCTGCAACTGCGATTTATTTACACTTTCACATATTCTCACGGCTCGCAGTCTGCTGCTATGTGACTATTTATGTGTCTTTATAGAGATTATTAAAAAAAAAAAATCAGTCAAATCCCACAAATTGGAAGCTAACACCCTTCTGCACTACCATCGCTGTAGTATTGCGGTGTAGGTGGGGTGTAACTCTATTTAGTCTACAAACAAACTAGCAGCCAAGAATGTTTGCAGTTGATTCAGTGATTTTTTTTCAGCCCAAAGATTTATAAATGACTGTTGAAATGGAACTCATTTCAGTCATATTTAGCACTGTTAGTTAACCATTGGATATTTCACACCCTCAAGAAGAAAAGTTTAATATCACATCCGTTTATAGCCCTCTTCCCACAAAACGATGTGCTCTTAACTTTGTCTGACACTTTTCCCCTCATTTGTAACACGAGTAAGTGAATTAAACCGTTTATAAATAAATATTTCAAACGTATAACAAATTCTTAATGTATACTTTTTTCTTCTCTTCTTACTAGACTGCTGATGCCTCAGATGAAGATGAAGAAACCACAGCTCTCATGATAAAGCCCGGATCTGGGAGCTCGGCAAACGAAGAGAAAGAAAACGAGGCTTTCTTTAAAAAGGTTTACATGAATTATTAGGGAACTGTGGGGTTGTTGTGCAAACAGCTCCAGAAATGAGTCACTACCTCCAAACTCACAAATACTTGTGACCTTGTGGCATCAATTGCTCACCATGAATTACATTTTTGTTACTTAAATTGTGTGGGTTAGGATTGCAATGTTTTCTGAATCAAACTTAATTAACTTAATAATACCCTACTTTTTTCTATATAGGTTCAGGAGATTCGAGAGGGACTTGAAGCAATTAAAAAGAAGGTGTCTGAATTGGAGAACAAACAGAAAACAGTGTTAGGAGTCGCACTTCCAGAGGAAAGTGAGTTGCTCAGCTTAGGTTTGGGTATTTTTATATTTCAACACATTCCTATGAAATAAAAAATGGTTCTTCATGGAGATTTGTTTTTCCGTTTAAGTTTTATGATCCAACAAAATGTTTAAATCAATAAATATATTTTAAAAATCTCCTTGCCAATAGGTATGAAAAAGGAACTGCAGTCCTTCAGAGAAGACATCAAAGTCATGGCCAGCCAGATCCAAAGGAAGTTAAAAAGTGAGACTGATAAATAAACATAGGTGGTTGTTATTGAACGTTTTCCGCTGGACCTACTGGATGTGAAAAATTAAACAATAAATTTGTCACAGGCATTGAACCTAAGAAATCTGAAGGTGAAGACAAATATATTCCAATAAACGTTAGAATGCGGAGAACCCAGGTCAGTTGCTTTTTAATACGTATATTATAAATATTTGTAAATATAATACATGAACAGTGTTGTTTTGGCTCAGAATAATGTGCTCCTTTTTTTCCTCAACATCCTTTAAAAGCATGGTGTTTTGTCCCGTGAATTTCTGGAAGTGATGGGTCACTATAATACAATTCAAGCCCAATACAGAGACAGAAATGTGGAGAGGATACAAAGACAACTCAAAATCAGTATGTGCTTTTTCGGTCTTGTTTTAGTCTAGTGATAATACTAGCATTATCACACAGGTCTCTCATAATTGCCTTTTTAAATGTGCACCATGTAATTTTCCCCCCTCATTTTAGAGTTTCCATTTGTATGATCCACAATGCTAGGCGTCAGTACAAGTCCAAGACTACTGCAGTATTAGTCAGTGCAACATAGCTTTCTTTTGCATTATTTCTACAAGATAAATAAAACTAATGTGAATGTGGTTTCCGTTACAGCTGGTAACAATGTGACAGATGAAGAGCTAGAATCCATGCTTGAGAGTGGACAAACTGATGTTTTCACGCAAAATGTGAGTGTGTTGTATTGTGTAGTGTGCATGCTTTGTTTTGAATGCACAAGTGTAAGTCTTGCATTGTGCCAATTGATATTCAGTGCTTTTTTTTCTTCTACATTTACCTGAAGTAAACAGTCCACACTGGGGGTTTGTGATATCATGATTTTTGATTGTGGATGATTAAAATATATCCACGATCTGCTATTGAAGAGATATCGTAGTATCGTGCTACAGCGCACATTCTATCAGTTGCAGTTCTGCTGCCTCCATCTGAATACTGTACAATGCGACATACATTCACATCAAATATTATCTCAGCAGTAGAGTTACACTCATAGGACACTGCACTTATTTGCAATCCAAAAAGTATATTATTTGTCTCCGCTTTTATAGCCTTGCCGGTTAAACATTTAATTCACGTGCTGTTCTGGCATGCGCTTTTTTTTTTTTTACGCGTAGCCTACACCTGAAGCGCGTGCACACTAAAAAGCCTGTTAAACAGTGTCTGATTACTGGACTAAGTTTTCTTTCACGTCTGATTGCACTAATATTGTTAAAGGGGTCATATGACGTTGCTAAAAAGAACATTATGTATGCACATTATTTTCCACATAATTTACATTATTGTTGCTCCTCTATGCCCCGCCTTTCTGAAACACGTCGATTTTTACAAAGCTCATCGGTCTGAAAAGCAAGGTGTGCTCTGATTGGCCAGCTATCCAGTGCGTTGTGATTGGCCGAATACCTCAAGCGTGTGACGGAAATGTTACGCCCCTTACCATACTGTGATGCCCTGTTCGGCCGGAGCAAAAACATTAAAACCCATTATAAACAAGGCATTTGTT